GGCTGGCATGGGGTGTCCCGCCAGGAGCAGGCAGCATTTCCAGAGGGTGACAGTGCCCAGCCCCAGCGAGGATCAGCTTCCCTCCCTCGGCAGTGAGTGGCAGCGTAAGGAGCTGTTTCGGCAGGAACACGAGCTCACGTGCCTGGGGTTTGTGGCAGACTGGAAAGGCTCTCCTCAGCAGCAACCAGAAAACACAGCTCTGCCCACGTGGAGTTCCACACCGTGCATGGAGCTGTCAAAACACTTCCCACAGCTGAGACCTGGAGGACACAGAAACTCTGCTGCTCCCAGAGCCTTTACTGGAGCAAACAATGCTGTGTGCTGCGCTTACAGTAACTACAAACATCAAACATCTTGCCTTTCTTCTCCTTCCACAGATTTTCCAAACTGCAAATGGTGAATCAGCAGATAACTCCTCAGATGGAAATCTGGCAGCTTTGTTGCATCTGTCTGTAGCTTTACAAGGATAAGTTTGCTCATGGGGGCTGAGGAGGTGAATGTGGAAGGACAGCTGGGTCAGTCTGCAAGTGATGCTGATGGAACAGAGGGTGTTCTGTCACTGGGCTCAGAGGATTTGAGATTGCTGCGTTTGCAGCAGGGATCAGGGCTACACTCAGGCAAAATCCCAGCCCTGGGATCAGGCTATATCCTTGTGCTGCTCTGCCTTGGGTGCCATCTACATTAATTCAAAAGCTGGTTTTTGTCCTGCACGACACAGATTGCAGGAGCAGATTCCCTTGGGTTTTCAGCCACCGTGTGTCCAAACAATGTCTCCAAATTTTTGGGTGATGATTTCAAAATATTCCAAGCCTAATTCCAGTGATTCATTTTGTGGTTGTTCAACATGAAATGCCCTCAGGTGTCAGATTTCCAGAGGGGTTAAACACTCACAACTCAAACGATTCAGTAGCTCTAAAATACTGTTACAAAACCATGGGAAGATCATATTTAACCTAGAGAAATTCAGCAAGACATTTCTGAGCTAACTATGCATCATCCCTTCTAATAAAGGAAGGATCTTTTAGACCAACTTCAACCAAGTGTATTATCCAATTTCACAGGGAACTGAAACATCTGTCACAATGTGGGGAAAAAAATGGGGAGCATTTAGAGGTTAAGCTGATTTTCAGTGTGTCTGTTCAGATTTTCTTTCCCCTGATTGTTAACTTAAGAGCACTTGAGCACTGTACAGCAGTGTCTTAATTCACTTAACTCTATTTTCTCATAGGATAGAAATTAACCGAAACATAACTTTAAATATTCCAAAAATTACATAGTTACCATTATATCAGCCACCCACTGTTTTATTGGCCTCTGCGTTACCTCTGTGTCCGACCAGAACTTGATTCCCAATGTCTCCAGTTCTGTGCCCTGGTTTCCAGCCATACACACTTCTATTCTCTGCATGACTGCATTTTTTTTCACTAATTCTGACTGTTCTGGGGCTTCAGGTGCCTTCAGTTCCCTCATTTTAGCAACTGAGGAATTATTTTGGACATGATTCCAGAGAACAGTCAAAAAAAATTTGAATCCCTTGTCATTAAGGTAGTCAGGGCTAATATGAGATTTTCTTATGTGAAAAGTAAGCATAGCTGGTAAAATGCATAGAAGTAAAATTTAATTTGATTTGATTTCTTGTCATCTCCATATATCATACTTTCCTTTTCTCTTGCTGCTTCACTCCCACCTATTCTCATAATCTGCAAATTACTTTAGTCTGAGCTATTTCCTGTGTGTTAACTGCATTTCATTGGCTGCCAATTCAGTTTTCTGTTTCTGCACTTGCATTTGTATTTAGGAAACATGATGAAAATTAATATCATAATTATACCATTCAAGCAAATCATATGAATTAGATCTGTGTCTAGCCAGCCAAAAATATCTGTGGTTGTCATCAGAGTGTGCATTTTTCCCTTTCCCAGCAGCATCATCATCAGGCAGTGCTGTGGTTTAAGGGCAGCCAGCAGCTGAGAACCCATCCCAGATGGAACCTGGGCAGGCAGAGGGAAAAACTGCTCCCTGTGTTACTCCATGGGCAAGGACTGCATAAAGAAAGAACAAAAACCAAGCTCTTTTCCTTTGTAAGCACCACCTTTTAACTTGCTCCCAAAATATTTATTCTGATTTCCTCAAAGCCCTTGCAGAAGTGTGGCACTGTTCCTCCTGAACAAACTCCTAACCAAATAAGGCACTAAAGCCACGCACCTTTTGTGCTTGCGCGGCTGCAACACTCCTTTTATGCCAGATTTGTCCCCAAAGTACAGCCAGGGTGCCTGAGAGATCAGCTGCTTGTCCCACACACCTCTGTAACTGCAGAAACTCTGCACTGTGTGCTTCTTTAAATTCAATGAGACAAGGCAGCTGTTTTATTGCAGAATATCAGGGAAAATCAACCAGGTGAAATCTGAATTATTGCTTGTGCTGGGATCTGAGCAGATTTCTGTCCAGGCTATTTTCACATTCCCATTTCATTTGGACTCAGATTTAATTGCTGGAGCACAGACTCCTTTTATTTCAGAGGGGCCTGCTTGCATTTCTTAAAGTCTAAAATCTATGATGAGTTTAGACAAATCATAACTAACCTTTCTTCCAGGGAAGTAAACAACAACTTCACTGAATTTGATGCCACGCTAATTACATTATTAAAATAATGTCAGACTGTAAAAAGCAATGTCCATGTGGTGGAGGTTAGGATTTTTCCTTTGTCATTGCACGACTGACAAAGGAAGTAGAAGTGACAATTTTGTGACTCAGTTAAAAACTGAATCTGTCACTTGTGGAGTAATAATTGGAGAATAATTAAAATTTCTAGTTAAGAAAGCTCCTGTGTGTCTGCAGAAACCCACTAGAGGAAGCTGTGACATTTTCACAGCCAGAACAGACAAGATGGCATTAATGCTTCCATAGAAGCAACCAGCATCCCTCAGAAGGGAAAGAATCAAAGCCAGCTCCTGCAGTGTGCTCCTGCAGATGCTTCATGCTCAATACTCATGCTGCACACAACTTTTTGTGCCACTCCAAGACCTTTTGAAGTATTCACATTCTGCCATTAGCTTCAAAGGGAAACAAGATTTGCCTTGCAAAACAATCAAGAGCTGCAGCTATCTACAGACAAATTAATTCATGGCAGCTTTGGTTGCAACAGCTACAGAATTCAGCAAGATGATTTCACTGTGTCAGTGATGCGTTCTGCAAAGGGCCAAATTCACACACTTGAAACACAAAGGATAATGAGTCCCCAACCTATCAGAATCACGGGATCGTTGAATGGGTTGGGCTGGAACAGCTTTAAAAGTTCATCTGTTGGGAGGAGAGGGGAGGTGCTGAGGAGGTTGTTGGGTGCATGTTGGGAGTGGACACCTTCACTGTCCCAGGCTGTTCTGAGCCCATCCAACCTCACTTCAACCCTGCCAGGGATCCAGGGGCAGCCCCAGCTGCTCTGGGCACCCGTGCCAGGGCTGCCCACCCTCACGGGCAGGAATTCCTTCCCAATGTGCCACCCAAACCCCTCCCTGCCAGTGTGCAGCCACTGCCCTTGTCCCTCAGCCCCTCCCACCTTTCCTGCAGGGTCTCTCTGCAGCCCAGGACAGAGGTTTCAGTAACATGCTGTACACAACAGATTCCTCTGATGTGAATGGGGCTGGGACACCTTTAGTGCACCCAGCTTACACACTCACCTCATGCACATACATTAAGACAGCGAATTTTATAAAGATATTTATTGTGCAAGAATGATCTTCATGCTCATTTACAATGAAATAATTAGTTTTAACAAATAATCATGCCATTGCTTAATTTCAAATCTAAACAGAATATTTACATTCAAGTTTACATCTTTGTTCAAGTTCCATGTACAATGTTGTCAGAATTAAGCAAGAATGCATCTTCAAATCAATGGTTTTCTGTTGGTTTTTTTTACAATACACTATCATCACCTTTCAGACTTTTACTGGAAATGACAAATTTCCTGTCTGTGCAGTACCCTAATTTCCCAGCTACAGCACTGGAAAAGAACAAAAAGACCCCAGTGGAACCAGTGTCAGACACATAAATCAATCTCCAATTAGCCAGGCACTCAAACAGGAAGAGGCTGCAGGATAACCTCTGCACAACTCATTTTTGGGGGACTGTTTGTGTCATCCTTGAAACAGATCCTGCCTCAGGAAAATGAACCTCAGGACAATTCTTTCTCCAAGTCTTCAATAACGAAAAGATCTGCTTTGTCAATACTGAAGGGAACCTCTTGTGTTAGCACCAGACACACCCTCAACTCTTGGTTGTGTTCTGGGGTTTTTTTGTCCCACCACAGGGATGCCCAGGATCACAGCACTGTGGTCTGGCAGCTTTTAAAAAACAATTAAAGAAACAAACAACAGCCCCCAGCTCCCAAATACAAGAACAACAACAAAGTAAGAAAACATACTTTCAATGAGCAGAAATTCAAACTGTAACTTTTTGGTACTGCTTTTTCTCTCCACACTCTATGATGTAAAGGAATTCCAGAGTCCAGCCCATGTTTCCTTGGCTTGCACACAAATCTCTCCCTTCTTCATCAAAGGTTTCCAGCCCAGACTTCTCAGGCCCCTCCCTCCCACCCTGACCTGAGACAGACAGACAGACAGAGACAGACAGACAGACAACACTCACACTCAGAAATGGTTCTGAATGACAACTTAGCATGGTCCCACTGAACAGCTCAAAATGGAACAGAATTTTTCCTTCCTTCCTTCCTTCCTTCCTTCCACAGTTCCATGAGATGCCTGCTGTTCTAAGCCACGTTCTCCTGTGAGTGCTTCACGTGCTGCCTGGTTTCACAGAGGCCAGAACAGGACTAAAGGAGCAGAGCTCAGCTGCAGCTCCTGCTCCGACTCACCTCAGTCACACGACAACAAAGAATGATTGTCCCGGGGCTGGGCCGTGAATCCATGGACAGACACTGACGGTGAAGATGCAAACGCGGCGATTCCCCATTGTGAGCGGCCTCGGTGCTGGGCAGGGCAGCGC